GTGATCGACACGTCCATGTCGATGTGCCGTGCGATCATGATTTTCTTCAAGCTCTTGAAGACAGTTTTGAAGCGGCTGATAGCGGTGGCCAAGTCCTTGTGCCAGGGAATATTGAATGGTATATCGCGTTGGAAAACAGTATGGTCTTCGCCGCCCACGTTCCGTACATACATCGGTCCAGGCTCTCGAGCACGATGCCTTCTGGGGACAGTAGGTACAGTTGCATGAGGGCTTGCATGGCTGCATCGATGTCGGAACGCCTCCACGGCACGTTCTTGACGGTGCAGCAATGTCGAAAGAACCAGTAATAGTTGTTCATCGTTTCCATGCACTTGTGCCACACGTTGATTGCCATCAAGGACGACTCTTTCTTCGACAGAGGGTCGTCCATGCTGCACACAAGCTTCTCCATGACCCCAAAGTGATGCAGTCGACACACAACGCGGATCAAGTCGTCACTGACCGCTTTCGATATCCCCCGCATTGCATCGGGGATGTCCATGCGATCATCCTGCAAGCCTTGGACGCACAAGTCGTACATCGCAACCATCTTTCCACCGCGCCGAATACCGCTTTCGATTGTCCGGCTCATCATACTTTGCTTATACAGCCCCCAGTCCATGCACTTGTCCAAAACACAAATCGCGTAGTACACCGAGGAGAAATTACCATAATGGTACAACTTGTTCAACAACAAGCTGTACTTCAAGACCTGAGAAGGTGTGGCTTCCTTGGACGTCAGGACCAACGCAGGAATGAGTGGGATGTCGTCCGTGGATCTTGACAGATGCTCGAACGTACGTCCACGAAAGAGCTCGCGATCGTTCCAAAGCAGGCACATCGCTTGAATTCGATGTTGGCCATCCACAATGCCGTACTTGTGCCCATCCGGTCCTGGCGAAAATAGCACGACGTTGAACGTGGGCAAGAAACCGTCCTTGACCAAACGATTCAAGTGCCTTGTGACTTCGTCCTTCCGTACTGGTCGTGTAGCCATGACGTTACGAAGGTTCTTGTACGTCTTCGCTGGCTCCAGAAATCCCATGTCGAGCAATGGAACGAGCGAAATCTTGCCAGATTGCAGGAACTTAAACTCATTTGGGGTGAGTCCAGCGTCATCCATGTCGGACTTCTTGGCTGGTTCCAGCTTGGGGTGGGTACAACGAACTTCCTCGACAAAGTCGTGCAAGGACTTCAGCATTCGCGCTGGATCGAGCTCAAATTTGCGCCAGAGCTCGTGATGCACAACTTCTTCTGTCGCCCCAGTTGTGATTGCCCTTCGACGCTTCATTTCATCACCCCGAACAAGCCTCTTCCGCCTTTTCGCTTCTTGTGTAATCGACGCAGCTGCCGGGCTTGCCCTCTTGGAAGGTGGTGCGTCATTGCCTTCTGCATCTTCAGGGGTTGCAGGGGTTGTCGTGGATGCGCCGTGACATCGTAGCAAGCAAAATGATGGCACACATGCAGGATCTGTCATTGTGTCCGTCGTTGGTACATGGGGGTGGCCCTTCCTTGGTTCTGGCAACTCTGTCTCGGTTGTTGGTTTCGGGGGGTTCGTCGTTGGCTCGGGGAGGTTTGTCATTGATGTTGTGGGCTCCGTCGTTAGTGCTGGCGTCTCCGTTTCTGTTGTTCGTTCCGGGGGGTCCGTCCCTGGCTCTGGGAGGTCTGTCGTTGATGCAGGGGGGTCCGTCGTTTGTAGAGGCGTCTCAGTGTACGTCGTTGGTGCTGCAGGGGGGTGGTCCATCGTTGGTTCCGTGGTCAAGAGTGTTCGTGTTGAAATCTCTGTGTCCGTTTTTGGTGCCAGGAAGTCCATCGTTGGTGCCGGGAAGTCCATCGTTGGTGCCGGGAAGTCCATCGTTGGTACCAGGAAGTCCATTGTTGGTGCCAGGAAGTCCATCGTTGGTGTCGGGAGGTCCATCGTTGGTGCCAGGACATCATTCGTTAGTGTAGGGGCTTCCGTCGTTGGTGCAAGGGGGTCTGTCGTTGGTGCTGATGTGTCCGTTGTTCGTGTGGTGATGTCCGCTGTTGCTGCAGGGGGGTCCGTCGATCGTGCTGAAGTCTCAGTCTCCATTGTTGGTTCCGTGAAGTCCATCGTTGATACTGGGGGGTTCGTCGCTGGTGTCTCCGTCCTTAATGGTGCCGGTTTCTCCGATGTTGTCGTCGTGGGAAACGCCGAAGGTGCTGACGTCTCTGTCGTTGGTTCTAGCGCCCCCTTCGTTGGTGCCGTGGGCTCCGTTGTTGGTGATGGCGTCTCTTTAGTTGGTGCCGAGGGTTCCGTGGTAGGGGTTGGCGTCTCTGCCGTTGGTCTCGGCGCCATCGTTTGAGCCGGAGTCTTCGTTGTTCCTGCTAGTGTCTGTGTCGTCGGTGGTGCGGTCGGTGTGGCCTTCTTTGTGCCCTTGTGTGGGGACGATGCCGGTGTTGGTGTTGGTGGGTCAGTCTTGTGGAAGAGAGAATGGAACGCCACCACACTTGCGCCCTTGTCGAATTTGGACTTGGGTGGACGTTTTGGTCTCCGTCCTATATAACCCGTGAGTTTACTTTTTACAAATAATCTCACCGTCACCACTCATTACGACTTGTGTACTTTGAAGGAAATTGAAAAGTGATACATTTTCTATGTCAAAAGATTCAATATATATCTCCCAAGTCACATATACTACAGTCGAATAATGTAAGCGGACCTGTGGTATGATACCACAGGTCTGCTCGAAATATCTAAAAACATATTAATCCATCGAACTGCATCGACGTATACATATTTCGAGCGGACCTATGGTACCATACCACAGGTCCGCTCGAAATAACTGACATCGTGTTAATCCATATAACTCTATCGAGATTACTTATTTTGAGCGGACCTATGGTACCATACCACAGGTCCGCTCGAAATAACTGACATCGTGTTAATCCATATAACTCTATCGAGATTACTTATTTTGAGCGGACCTATGGTACCATACCACAGGTCCGCTCGAAATAACTGACATCATGTTAATCCATATAACTATATCGACACATACATATTATACACAGACCTATAGTTCCATACTGGCAAGAACATATTATGTTAATAACTGTTGTAAAATATTACGTCAAAATCATCTTGAGATCTTTTGCCGTTACATCAAATATTCCATATTTATTGCTTGTGAACAATCAGTACTTCATTTGCAGTTTTCGTTAGCTGTGCACATGTCAGATTCTGAAGGCAGTCGTCAAGTACACCACTTGGTGATTGATCTCGTCTCATCGGACGAAGATAGACCTGTAGAACTAAATTATGAGGACGAAACAAAGTCCGATTTTATCGATTCTAGCGCCTCGAGTGTGGGTGATGACATTCCAACTCAAGTCGACGACGAAACCAAGTCGGATAACGACTCCGCCGTGTCACCAAGAGCCCATGTTCCCGGGGCCGTGGATGTAGACGATAGCAACCGGGACCAGGTAGACGTCTCTACTGGCGGTGCTCCTTCCACGGCTGGACCGTGGTCCATGAGGATTCCAAGGCATCCTGACGGTCGCCTTGTGCATGAAGCCCCTGACCCTCGAATTCCAACTATACAATCCCCACTTACCATCCAACAGTTTGAGTACCAAACCAGTCAAACACTCAGCTACATCCAACTTGTTGGTGAGTTTGACATTGATGGTGTCACCATCGATGGTCCAGTGGAGATTGTAAACCACCTTGCTGGCGTTCACATGGAAGTGTGGGGGGGTCCATCGAGACTCATGGATGCGTCAGGCAAGCGAGAAGGGATGACAAAGGTCTCCTCGTGTGGCTCAGCCTCTTACTACATCCCTGAGGGGCTACGGTCGCCCTTCATTGAGGCGCTGAATGACCACTTTGGCATTCAACTCCTGTGTCGTCCAGAAAGACGAAACCTCCTCATGGAGGCAAGAACGATGACACGATGGGATTTTGTCCAGGCGTTGACTACAATCCAATGTCCACGCGTCTTGTATCAAGTATACGGTGAGAAGAGCTCAGTGGATGACTACAGCAAGTGTTTGACTTCGCTCAAGACGGCTGTGCCATCCGCTTTGATTACCGTGGACTTCTCGCGACATGTGGGGTACGACAGGGAACTCAATGTCCCCCCGTACCAGACTGTTGTTGACACGGTGATCACAAACGAGCCTGGCTTTAGCACCATGCGCAAGGTGCTATTTCGCGATTTCAGCTTGGCCCAAATGATGCAACTACACCCACTGCTATTCAAGATCGAGGACTGCTACGGCACGGTTGTTTTTACCAAGACAAAAGAATCAACCCACTGGCCATGGCTTGAAAAAGTCAAAGTGTACAACAAATCCGTTCACTACTTGAAGTCAAAGCGGTCGGTGAAGTGGTCCTGGATTCCGAAAGGACTTAAATCACTGAAACCTTTTCAGAAGCACTTCGAAGATGCCATTTACGTCTACGATGAAAACAAAGCATCGGATTCCATGAAATGGTCTCGAGTCGAGCTGACCATGGAATGGGTCGACTTGGCCACCGCTATCAGCCGCTTCAAAACTGTCTTCAAGAGCTTGAAGAAAATCATGATCGCACGGCACATCGACATGGACGTGTCGATCACTTGCATGGAAAATCTCTATCGCGGTCTACGCAGAGACAAAAGACTCTTCTCTGGCCAATGGGGTCATTTGCTCAACGAGACCCAGCGACGTGAGTTTGCTTGGATGGTCGATACCATTGGCACTGGCAGCCACGCCATTCAAGAGCTGGTCCGCAAGTCATACATTGACTTGGGTATTCACCTGTTCGTTGATTACATCTTGGACGAACAAAGCCAAAGTTCACGAAGCGAGAGTGAGAGCGACGTACAACGCAGCTCCTCAAACGGAAGCGATTACGACGAATCTCCTGAGCGTGTGCTGTCAGACGAAGCTCTGCGTATTTACCAACAAGTGCGGATGAATCCAACAGCTCAAGGGAAGTTCAGGGCGCATTACAAGTCTGGTGGCCAATGCATGGCCCGTGAAACCAGGATCGCGCTCGCACAAGGCCTGGAAGCCAAGGGAATTGACTGGGCCAACAAACTCATTCTTTACCCCGTCGATATGATGGCCATTTGATTAGTATATATCGGTACCTAACTGCTAGATGTAGCTTAGATAACCCAAAGTGAACTAGACTGATAATAGTAATACATAAGCTTTCAAAGTATAACAACTCATCCATCTCCCGCCACGATCCAAATTGAAGGTATTGAGCTTCAAAACATATCTATAGTATTTACGAGCCCAGATCGTCCGCGACGCCACTCAGGCATTCCTCATGGCGGCCAAAACCGTGTGTATATTTACCTGGGACCGCACCAGGACATGCGCATGCCATATGCCCCCCGAACTGGCCATAGCGACACACAACCAACAACTGGCTCTGAATCGTTGCTCGTCCCCTGTATGGCTCCACTTGCTCTGGCACAATCAAACCACCAAAAATGACTGGATCCGCCATCTCATGGCCCAGTAAGGTCCACCATCGGCGACACGTTTGCCGAGGCCTTTAGCTCCACGACGATGACGGGGGGGTGGACCTTCATACCACGTCACTACGATATGTGCTGGTCATCCCAGCACATATCATCCTTCACAGCCGGGTTTGGTTCCTTATGCCACCACTACGGACCAACCTCCTTCGCCAAGCACTTAGACCAAGCGCCTCAGCACTTTCATCGCCACCTCTCTTTACCTCCCAGTCCCCCCTGATACGAAATACGACCTTCGCCGCGCGGCATTCTGCTACGACGTTCACATACCCTACCATCCCGAAGTGTCACCCTCCACTTGGAAAGCCTCCTACCTCCTCGGAAGCCTCCAATGGTTCCAATACTCCCAGGCTTTCATATTCTAGACATCAACAGCTCTGCCCCAGTGCCCCGATGGGACAAGCCACACCTTATGGCACTCTGAACCCGCGATCTCACTGTTGACCGATGTGCTCCCTGTTGACCGATGTGCTCATCCTATGATTCGCAAGCACCAGGGGACACCCGTAGACCATGCCCTCTTGCTCATTTCCGTCGATCAACCCCGGTCTATTACATGGATGCTATTGGCGACTCAATTAAGTTGGACACCCACAGCACCACATTTGACAACATATGTAGACAGGCACGGCTACTACTTCGCTCCCTAACCCTCCTCGTCCTCTGGAATGAACGCTGTACTGCCGTACACTATGCCACGCACGATCCAGCTCCAACATCTCCCCACCATCACTCTCTGCCACTTCCAAGAACTCGCGACTTATCATGCTGTAAACCGACACAAACTCCGTACCATCGTCTATGGGTATTGTGTTCGTCAATGCCGCGTTTCCCATGCAACCCACGCCTCGGTCGACTCTCATGAACCGGAGCATAGCCTTGTCCTATTAGACGGGGCAGCACGAATGGAAAGCTCGTGTTGGTGCTCCGGCTACATTGTGATGCCCCTCGGCGTCCCTCTCGCATGTGAATACGAAGCTCACTACTTCCCTCCGCCACTACCAACAACAACCCAGAATATGATAGATTGAACCGTTCCTTACAATTAGCCCTCGACATGGGACTTAGACACATATCCGGGTCTGCGGCGACAGCGACCTTGTAATCCATAACTTCGAAGACCCCACCGCATACGCCACGCCAGCTTACGCAGCTCCTACCTGCAGGCACGCTCTCTCGTGTAATTCAACCAGGCCGCAGATTTCATCTCAAAACAGGCCTCGATTTTGCGTGGACTACGGCTCGACGCCACCCCCCTGCTCCCGCAGACAGTGCTACATTCTACGACTATCTCGACCTTGAGCTTGAAGCAACCCTGGCTGAGCCCCCGGTTTCGTGATCTCATATAGTTTTGCTCATATACACTATAACATTAAATATTAAATCATTTCCACCTATATTAATATTAATGCTTTTTTCATCTATGTGTTCTATACTTTAATTGGCAACCCGAAATCTCATATACGGATAAATATCCGGAAAACTTACCTGAAGAATTCAGTACAATATGTGGCAAAATGTTCAAACATTAAGATTAGTGTTAAATTTTGTATGTTATACATTCTTTAAGTACATGAAGTGGCACCTTAGAAGGGTTTGAAGAATTTTCTAGACAAGAACATGAATTCAAATTTTAATACCATGTGTTTCACAAGTGAATTGCACAAATAATTCATATCCCCTGATACGTCAATCAACATTTATCAGTTTGAACTTTTGAAGCGCATAGGTTTTGAAGAATAACTCGCACTTATTACTTGTTTTCAAAACTACTCGGACTTACTAGAGCCATAACCTG